AGCTATGTCGTGGGTTGGTCTTAAATTGGCTGCTTTTACACCTCTGGTTAATGGAAAAACCAGCTGTCCAGTCTCACTTTGCTATGGTTCAAACAGCTGATTCTGCAGAAGCAGTATCTGATGTTTACGACGGACTTTCAAGGCTGAGCACTGCAGCTGCTTTATCTTTAAACTTGCATCATGTTTCTACAAAAGTCCATATTGCCCCATTTAACCTTCCAAATAATTAAAAATACCTTTGAACTTGGTCAATCTTCCCAAATACCTTCAAAACACTAACAGTTCTGCATACTTTCTTTGTTGTTAATATATTTTAACCAAGTTCTGCTTTTTGAGCAATCCAAGGTTTAATAGTCCATCTTCTTAATTTCCTGTAAAAGTCCCATGTCCTTCACATGCACTACATAGACTGCATGGCTCAGTTTCTCGCAAGTATTTTTTTTACTTCGACCTTCATAAGGCAGATTAAGTATCTGGAAGTACACAACTTGCGTGCTGGCAAAACTGCAGTAGTTTTAAAATGATGAGATTGTGAACTGTTCAGCTGCCCTGCTCACCAAAGTATTGCTTTAAAGACAAGAAAAAGCAGTTTGCTGTTTCTTTCAAGCGATAAAATTAAAAATCTCCTTACTGATGGCAAATGATAACTTTCAAAAATGAACACTTTATATGAATAATGTTTGGGTGCCTTTATTTAGTCTTTGTTGTGTCACTTCCAGAATTTAGAAATTTCAATATTGTGAGTTCAAATTTTTTCATCCAGGATCTGCATTAAGTACTCGCAGTTCGAGTGGAGCATGGATTGTAGGAGGTAATTGTAAAGGGTCTAAAACTTACAGATGCTGGATGGAGAGTTGTAGGAAATACTGCAGTGAACTCTTAAAACATGAGGCTGGCAGGCAACACTTCCTGCCAGCAGTGTGCATTGATAAAAGTGACCGTAAAGGTCTCCAATATTCTCTTCTATCATTTAAATGCAGCCCAAGAACAGTCGTTACTAAATCAGAGTGATATTGCCTCTACTCACACCAGCAATCCCAGTTTTGTGTTATGGCTTCAGCCCTGGGAGCCCGAAATACTTGACCAAAACTATTCCAGCTCTCTTATCCTCCAAACACCATACTCAATAAATTGCAGTGGAACACTGAACCAGCTTGTTACAAAAAATTTTGTGGTGCATTTTGAATAATAGGAATGTTTCTATTTACAATGTTCCTCAATGGAAACTTATAAATTCTACAAATGATCAATCTGAAAGCTTTTTCTAGGTTGAGGGATGAAAATGGAAAGTGATGAAAATAAAGGTCATGGTCAGCAACGAATTGCATTTGTATAGTGCCTGTAATGCAATAATCATTCCAAGGCACTTCACAGGAGGATTTTGGAGCAAAATTGGACCGAAGCCACATAATGACAGCTCATGACCGATAACCAAAAGCTCAGACAAAGAGATAAATTTTAACGAATGTGCTAAAGGAGAAAATACATGTAGAGAGACATAGAGGTTGAGGGAAGAGATTCCAGAGTTTGGGTTGACAGCTGAAGGGTCAGCCATCAATCTTTGAGCAATATGGGTAATGTTCGGGTGCCTTTTTTTAAAGTCATTGTTGTGGCACTTACAGAATTAAAAGGATACAGAAATCTCAAAGGGTAATGGAACTGGGGACCACCAGGGAGATACGAAGGTATGAGGCCAGGTGCACTTTGAAAACAAGGATGAGGTTTCTTTAAGTTCAGGCTTTGTTTGATTGAAAGTAAGTGTAGGTCAGCAAGCGCAGGATGAAAGGTGAACAGAATTTGGTGTGAGTAAGGATATGTGCAACAGAAGTCTGGATGACCCCAGTTTTTGGACAGTAGAATGTAGAATACCAGCAAGGAAGTGCTTTGGTGTAATCAAATTTAAAGGTGACAAGTGACGGTTTTGGCGGAAGATGAGCTGAGGCGGGGGTGTAGTCAAGTTGTGTCAGTGGACAGACTTAAAACAAAACTATGCCGACAGCCATGACATGAACCAGACATGCTTCAAGATAGAAGGATTTCAGATTGCTTAAAAAGTCAGCAGTGGTTGAAAAAATATCCTTGTTATTCTGCAAGAGAACTCAAATAAGGATACCATGACTTTTCTGGAAATATAACTGGAGCTGTAATTATTGTTTAAATAGGAACGCTGTAAAATTAACACTGTAGTGTTATGACAGTATTTATCTACAAGGGTTAAATTCATTACCTTCAATTAAGTTATTTTCGTTTATTGCTGGTATCCTTCTATGAACATTTTCTGAAATCCATCTGCTTGCTCCGGAGACCTCTCTAATCTCCCGCTTTATTTTTTGCTCCTCTGACAAACACCATTTCTGAAACCATGAAGGTGAATAAATGATTTTGTTTCAGACCATTACTAATGCCAATAGAGAATGGGTCAAACTGTGCTGAAGGGGTTGTGGTTGTCTAAATCTTAGAAATACAATTGGGTATTACAAACGGTATTACTGCCTGCTCTTTCGCTGCATCTAAATGTGAATTACCCCTTAGTAATGCTGTAGCAATTACTTCAGAATAATTGACATTTAATGTGGGCATCAAAAATCCATTGTGCTAAAGAACAGATATTACATCCTTGATTACCGTACTCACTTCTATTATTTTTCCATCATCTGTAATTCCCTATTAATTACTCTCTTCTAATCCTCTGCATTTTAATTATTTCCTGTATGCCATGCTAGCAATAAAGTTAAAGAAGTAATAATATTCTACTGAATTAAGACTGAGAGGGCAATCTGATATATAAAGAGAATGAATTTTTGAGGAGCGGGGTATTGGAACATTGAAAAGCTAGGTCCAGAGAAAGACTATCATTAATTGGGACTTCCCTGAAGTATCTAATGCATGAAATGTTTCTTTAAATGCATCAGAAAAAGTTGGATCAGAGTCAGGGGTCAGGTTTAATGAAAGTGAAGGTCGTATCATCTGGTAGCAAGAGTTGGTAAGAGCCAGACATTGCCACCTTTAGGGAAAGTCTGCTAATTTACTTAACTCAACAGTTATGAGCCTTCCCTGGGATCAAAGATCTGGGGGTGGAAGTCCCACCCACTGAGAAAGGTTGGCAGCTGTATCGAGCAGCAGTGACACCAGCTGTTTCCTGCCAGTAGGGCACCCACTAAGTCCTCAGATTGTCACTGAGTCCCAGGTCACAGGATACAGATGGTTGTAGTAGTGGGTGGGACCAGGGACGGGGGCATTTATAAAGGCAGCAAGGACTGGGGGGGAAGGGCATTACACTCAGTGGCACACCCCTCCTTTCCCGATGCCAGGTACCTCAGTTGGATATGGAACACCTCTGAATGAAGAATTCCTTTGAATGCTCACGGGTAACTCAGAAGGGATTTCCTTGTTATCCCCACCATGTGGCAAGCCCCTCACCTGCTGCTGGGTTCGTGGTTCTGAGCCAGGAGGGTATCCACATGTCTTTATTCTATGGACTTTGTTAGGGTGGATGTGGGAAAGTGGCAGAGTTCCTACTTGCTACCCTCCCTCCTGAATAAGTGACGCAGACCAAACTCATCATGGGAGATGGGAGTGAATTGTGCCCCGTAAGTGCAAACTGGCTAGAATTAAATTTCAATAGATATCAAAAAAAATTTTTACTCTAAGACAAGATAATTATTTGAAATAATTTCCAAGCGAGGTAAATTAATTGAAATGATTGGAGTAATTCAAAGTATAGTCAGAGAGTAAAGTTTCTACCAGACAGAACCTGATGTATTGGGTAACGTGAGTAATTGCGTGTGTGCATAATCTACAATATTCCAGCCATTAATTTTAAATATATTTCTTGCCCCTCACATCCCTTTTAAATCTTTCTCCTCTCACCGTAAACCTACGCCCTCTAGTTTTGGACTCTCCTACCCTGGGAAAAAGACTTTGGCTATTCACCCGATCCATGCTGCTTGTGATTTTATAAATCTCTGTAAGGTCACTCCTCAACCTTCAACACTGCAGGAATAAAAGCTCCAGCCTATTTCACCTCTCCCTGTCGCTCAAACCCTCCAATCCTAGCAGCAACCTTGTAAATCCTTTCTGAACCCTTTCAAATTTTACATCTTTACTATAGAAGGGAGATCAAAATTGTACTCCATATTCTAAAAGTGGCCTCATCAATATTTTGTACATGATGTCTCAGCTCTTATACTCAGTGCATTGACTGATGAAGGCAAGCATGCCAAACACCTCCTTCACTTGTGACTCTGCGTTCAAGGAACTATGCATCTGCACCCGTAGGTCTCTTTTTGTTTGGTAACACTCCCCAGCGCCCTGCCATTAACTGTATAAGTCCTGTCCCTGTTTGCCTTACCAAAATGCAACACTTCACGTTTATCGAAATTAAACTCAATCTGCTACTCATTGGCCCATTGGCCCATCTGATCAAGGTCCTGTGGTAGTCTGACATAACTTTCTTTATGGTCAACTGTACCAGTTCAGAGATGTTATTACACACCTGTGGAGCAGGTGAGACTTGAACCCAAGCATCCTGGTTCAGAGGTAGGGACACTACCATTGCACTATTAGAGCATCTCCTGGGCTTGTAGTCTAGCACTGAAAGTGGCATGAAATTCAGATGCTAAATTAGCTTAACCTTTTAAGCTCAAACTAGGTAAAAAGGTAATCACAACTGACTCTAAGCTGCAGAAATTTTTTAAAGCAATCGCTAGATTTAATGTTCTTCTTTCATAAAGACTTTTTTCTGTACCTAAATATAACACGCTGAAGCATGAAGTCTGGTACAAAAAATATTATATTCTTGTGGTTCCCCTACATTGTTATGTAAGGTACTTTATACTCCAAACTGCACAATGTTGTTTCACTGATATGATGAAATCTTCAGGCTACTACTCTTTAACAAAAGACTTTTGCTTCTGCACATCTCTTATCTGATACAATTTAACATTTAGCACTAATAGATTAAAGTAAGACAAAAACTATTTATTATTTTGTTCCTTCAGCAGGGTACACTGGAACCAACCTTCTGGAACAGTGAAAAGTGGAGTTACTTATGAATTGAACACAGCATGTCTTCAGCCAATTATCCAAACTGGGTGACTTTTGATGATGATTATGGTTTCCAGTCACCGAAACAGTCCTTCAGTTCAGACAGTGGGCATAAGTCCAATGGTCTGGTATTGAGTCTTTCTTCTCAACATGATATGTCCAGGAGATCTGCCTCTGGCAGTAACACGCCACTTTCTTCACCATTCACAAACCTTCCTTGCACACCAATGTCTGGACTTCAGACACCGATCACACCAAGCCCGTCCAGGGATAACTGTTTCTTTAAGTTTGAGGATCTGTCACAAACTGATCAGTTTAGGCCTCATAATAATGAGAATGGATACACAAATCCATTTTGGAATCCGGGTTGTATTTCAAGCACTGGTATTTCTCACTGCGAACAGGAAAGTAACCGGGCTAGTGATATTTCAACCACAAACACTACAAACACTTTTTTTCAAGGTCCCAAGCAAATGAAAGGACCCCAGAAAAGTCAGAGTAATTCCCCTCTAACTGTTCTTTGTCAAAAACATGAAAAGTTACAAGCAGATGACTCTCAACCTTCAAAGACATCTTCAGAAAACAAACAGCTTAATATTCAAATATCTTCACATAATGTTAGGAATCTCTTCAGAATTGGGTGCAAAAATGGTTGGCCTTTAATGATGAGAATCCCTGAGAAAAAGAATATGATGTCTTCTCGTCAGTGGGGCCCAATCTATCTGAATCTCCTGGCTGGGGGAGTTTTACAGCTCTATTATGAACAGGGCCTCGAGAAACCTTTCAAAGAATTTCAGTTGCAACCGTATTGCAGGCTCTCCGAACCCAAGCTGGAGAACTACAAGGCGTCAGGAAAGATCCACACAGTGAAGATTGAACATGTGTCATACACAGAAAAACGAAAATATCACCCAAAAACTGAAGTCCTACATGAAGCAGAGGTTGAGCAGGTGTTGAAGTTTGGAACAACTGACTACAAGGATTTCATTGACTTCATTGCTGCTGTTGAAGAGGAACTAATGAAACTACCTCTTCTTGCACAACGCAGAAAGAGTTATGAAGAACAAGAAATGATACTTGAAATGACGGATCACTTCTGGGGAAAATTTTCAAGACAAGGAAAGATGATTGAAGCTTCGGTGGTGACCCACATTTATTGTCTGTGCTTCATTAATGGCAATGTTGAATGTTTTTTGACTCTTAATGATTTACAGCTTCAAAGAAAAGACCACCGTTACTTGAAAAGTGATACAGATAGCACATGGATTCAGATCTGTGACTACCGGGTTCATAAATGCGTGAAAGAAAATGAGTTTGAAACTTCTAGAGTGATAAAATTCATTCCTCCTGATGCTTGTAGATTGGAGCTGATGCGTTTCAAAACAGTCCGTGACAATCCTGAGCTTCCCTTTTTGTTAAAGGGTCTGGTCACAGTTCATGGAGCCTACACAGAATTACAAGCATTTCTAGTTATGTCCTCTGGCTATTCCAATTTCCAAAACAGGCTGTCTTCAATGTATTGTGAAAACGTGATGATCCGCTTTCCTGTTCCCGCAGCTTGGTTCAAGATATTTCGCACTGGGAATCTCTTCAGACAGAAATCCTTGAAGGCGAAGATGACTCGGAATGCTCGATTTGGCTCAGTTAGCATGACAGGTGGTGAACCAGTAATGCAAGTCACCATTGGTACAGCTAAGTATGAGCATGCTTTCAAGGCAATTGTCTGGAGGATTGATCGTCTACCTGATAAGAATGCAGGTATATTCCCTCATATAACTGCTGAACAATAACAACGTAGAAATTGAATCATCTGGTGAACGTTAAGCAAGTGCATAGTTTCTGATATCCAATGGTAAAATAAGGCTAAGGATTTTATGGGGCAGTGGTGGACATCACCCAGAAAATTGAGGAACCCTGCTTCAGCTGATCAAGGAAGTCCTCATTGCATTTTCCTTTCCTCTGGTAATTAATTGTCTGTAGTTGGAGTTTCCCATCCCTTTTAAGAGACTGACCCTGCAGATTTCTGGCCCATCAAATGGCTGTCAACTCTTCAGTCTCAAAGGCACCAATGGGAGTGGGGGCCACTGCTGGGACTGCAACAGATCAAGGCCAGCTGCAATGGAAGAGAATTAGACTGAGTTTGTGGCTCTCATTGGGACCATTCACGCAGCGGGGAGGGGAAGGAGTCTCCTATTGCAGCAGGGCTGTCTTTGCTGTCAGGGGTTCCACATTATGCCAAGTCATATGAGCGCCTCCTTCCCATCCCAAGCAAGCAAGTCAGCAAGCAAGCTGCCAGGGTGTAAAAGAATTGGAATTACTTTCTCCAGAGTTGTCACTCATTGTCATGACTCATTAATCATCTATGGGGCTGAGCCAAGAATACAGTGCACCTTTCCAAAGAGAGGGAGGGCAAATAAAAGGAAATCATCTCAATTTCACCTTATAAATTTCTCCTTTCATTCAGAGGGGTACCAATAGAGACTGGGAGCACACCTACGTGCTCTCCCGTTCAGTTGTAAATAATGAAATAAGTTGATGGGTAATCTCTCAAAATATAATCAAAGAAAAGAAATCTACAACTTGTATTACCGAAACTGAATCCACCAAGAATGTGGAAATTAATAAAACATTGCTCAATAAATTTACTCTTTAAAATGGAGATATGTGGGAGAAATCAGAACTAAGGGACACTAATTACAATAATAGTACTACAATAAGAAGATTAAGATTGAGGAATTTTTGTTTTCCCAGAGATCTGTGAATCTTTGGAACTCCCTTCCACTGAGAGTGGTAGTGGCAGGCACTAACTATTTTTTAAGGCAGAGAAAATAGATTTTTGATTGAAAAGGGAGTCGGAGATTATCGGGAATAGGTGGGAATGTGGATTTGAGGCCACAAGCAGATCAACCACGATCTTGCTGAAACGTGGAGCAGGCCTAATGACCTACTCCTGCTCCTAATTCATATGGTCATACATAATGACTGTTTTAGATTTTTATATATCGCTATTATTTCAGCATTACATCTTTTCAATATTTCAGTAATGTTAATACTTAACATCTTTGTTATTTGTTAGCCATACTGTACCATCAGTAAGTCTAGTCTTGAAAAATATTGTTACAAAGATTTGGTTATGCTCAATGTATTGCTCTTCACTGCTCTGTGAAATGCTACTTCTCTCATTTTATCTTGTAGCATCTGACCATCCGCACTGTTTTTCTTGTAAACTTGAGCTGGGTTCAGATATGGAAATACCTTTGGAATGGAAGCCATTCATTGCTGTGGAGTTTGAGGTACCTGACACATCGGCTTCCAAAGTGCAAGTGAAATCATTTGGGACAGAAAGTGATTTCCAACCAGAGAAGCACATTCATCTAAATGCTCGATACCACTACCAGGTCATTTTTTACATTCTTGTTCGCAAGAGTTTCTGTTGTGTGGTAAAATGGAACTGAAAAATGTATTTTGAATCTGCAAATGTATTGAACACTCTTTCACTGTAAAGTAATTTGAAAAGATTTGCAAGATTTCAGCCAGGTAGATGTTTTATTTCTTAACTCATGTTATTGCAATGTGCTGTGATGCTTTTTACAGGTTGGCTGTTCAATCTAAAAACCTACCAGAGGGTTCTGAAGAATTTTCAACGTCCCAGACTTTATGTTTAAATTCTTTTGTTGCCTTATTCTTTTCTGAGTTCTCTATCTTATGATTGAGCCTTTCCTCCAAAGGGATGAGAAGATGTGACTGCCATACAATTCAATTTGCTTTGGGTCTCATGCTCCAAAGTTCGCCCCAACCCTTTGTTGTGCAGCTGTTCCATTTGCTTCATTTCGTTCTCAACAACTTGAAGTTCCCATAGAATCTCCTCTTCCTGTGCTGGTTCTCTCAAGGCATCTTTTAAATGCTATTATGAATTCAGCTTCCACTAGTAATTGAGAACAAGATGTAAGAGAGAGATCATATCTCATAGATTTGGGTGAATTTTTCCAGAAGGTGACTAGGTATCTTGATGAGGGTAGTGCAGTTGACGTGGTCTACAAGAATTTCAGTAATACTTTTGACAAGGTCTCACATGGCAGACTGGTTAAGAAGCTAAGACCCCATGGGATCTAGGGCAGTTTGGCAAATTGAATCCAAAATTGGCTTAGTGACAGGAAACAAAGGGTGTTGGTTGAAGCATGTTTTTGTGACTAGAAGCCTATATTCATTGGTATACCACACGGTTTGGTGCTTGGTCCCTTGTAGTTTGTTGTGTACATTAATGATCTAAACATGAAATTAGGTGATATGATTAGTAAGTTCACAAATGACATGAAAATTGGTGGTGTGGTAAATAGCATGGAGGAAAGCCTTAGACTATAAGACAATATAGATGGACTGGTCACAAGGTATGAACAGTAGCAAATGGAATTTAATCCTGAAAAGTGTGACGTAATGCATTTTGGAAGGACTAACAAGGTAGGGGAGTACACGTTGGCTAGTAGCACTGTAGGAAGCACAGAAGATCAGGGGTACCTTGGTGTGCACGAGCATAGATCTTTGAAGGCAGCAGGACAGATAGACAAGATGGTTACGACGGCATATGGGATACATGCCTTTATTTGTCAAGGTATTGAATACAAGAGAAAGGAGTTTGTAATGGAGCTGTGTATAATGTTAATTAGGCTACAGCTGAAGTACTGTGTGCAGTTCTAGTTACTATACTACAGGAATTGCAGTAGAAAAGATGCAAAAGGATGTTGCCTGGGTTGGAGATTTTCTGGTATGAAAAGAGTCCAGATCTGCTGGGGCTGTTTTCTTCAAAGAAAAGAAGGCAGAAGGGGAATCTTGATTTGAGGCATACAAAGTTATGGCGGTTATAGACAGGGTAGATAGGGAGAAAGCTTTTCCTTTTAGGGAACATAGTTTTAAGGTAATAAACAGGAAGGTTAGGTTGGATCTGAGGAGCTTTTTCTTCAAGCAGAGGGTTGTGGGTGTCTGGAACTCGCTGCTTAAAAGGGTGATAGAGGCGGGAACCCTCAAGACATTTAAGAACTATTTAGATGAACTCTTGTATGTATTCCATACAAGGCTATGGGTCAAGTGCTGGAAATGGGCTTAGAATAGATTGATATCTGATGACTAGCACACACAATGGGCCAAAAGGCTTCTTTCCAAGGTGTAAAAACTATGACCCTAACATTTATTCTTGAAGTAAGTGCAAACTCTGGGTAACATCTATATTTCCTCAATCCCAAATACATTCACACACCCATGAAAAGACAAGTCTCTGCAGAATTAATTCCCCTCAATACTCTTTCTTCACCTCATCTTACAGCCTTTTTCTTTGCATCTGACCTTGGAGGGTACTTATTTGACTCTCCCTTTAACCCTCTTTATTTTCCTCTCTTTAGCAGCTGCTTACATTTTCCCCTTCCCACAGCATCCCCTATATCCCCTTTACAGCTTGTTCCTTTCCCCTGCAACACCTTCAGCTGCCTCCTTCCTCCACGTCCTCCCCAGCAGCCTCCAACTGGTCAAACATCAACCCCTAAGACCCCCAAGGCTGTGAGCCAATGTTCGGCAATCCTCAAGGCACAGAGCTGATAGCAATCCTCAAGGCTCGGACCCATGCTCATCAATCCGAGCAACTCAATCGCTGTAGCTACTTACCTCCCAGTGACCCTTCCTTAGAGGTGTGATTTTGAAGTGTAACCAAACAGTTATGTTGTCTGTTTAATAACTGAAGTGTCCTGAAAAGTTTCTTCATTTAGGGATCTCTTCTTTGCAGTTTTGATCCACAGGCCACTTAGTCAAAAATCTGAAAAGATTGCTGAAAAATGTCCTCCTAAGTACAGTCATTTTGGTCTTTACTCTTTATGGGATGTGGGCATTACCGGTAAGGCCAGCACTTGTTGTTTATCCATAAATGCCCTTGAACTAAATGGATTGCTAGGCCATCACAGAGGCCAGTTAAGAGACAATCATACTTGCTGTGGATCTGAAGTCACATATAGGTCACACTAGGTGAGTGTGGCAGATTTTCATCCTAAAGCATAATAGTGAACTAGATCGGTTTTTACAACAATAGACAATGGTTTCATGGTCGTCATTAGACTCTTAATTCCAGTTTTTTGTTGAATTAAAATGCCATGGCGGGATTTAACCCGGGTACCCAGAACATTACTTGGGTCTCTGGATTGATAGTTGTGTGTGAAGCACCACTTTTTATTAGGTGACAATAGTCATTAAATTCCTTTAATTGTCATCATTAATCTTCTTGTGTCAACTGAGCTGACGTGTCTGTATGTACATTTGGATCAACATCAAAGGAAAACTTTGTGCTCATAATAGAGTCCCTTGTTCGTACAGCATCAAATCCACAGTTAGAAATCTTCTTGCAAGTTGGCAGGATGTGTCAGTCTGGCACAGCACAAGGGCATAAATTTGGCATCTGAAACTTCTTGCGTCTAGAATGTAGAACCCTACTGTTGGAAAGAATGGTAAACATTCTGCATGAAAAGATTTCCTGTTAATGTCTTAAAATTGAATATTGTGGGTTTCAGTTCTACAATGTTCAATGGAAATTTGAAAAAGACAGTTTCTGAACTTTGGATTATAGTTTTGTAAAAGAACCTTCTGCTTTCTGAGATAAGGAATTTAAAGGTTGCAAAATGAAACATTTTTAAGTTTTTGTACCTGTTGTCAGCTCTAATTACTCCAGGACAAAAGACTTAAAAGAAAACACTCAGTTTACAGGCTTAATCTTTGGATCAGCAAGATCTTCCCAGAACAAAGGAGATGATATTCCTGAGTCTTACTTTTTATTGTCTGCATGAGCCAATGTCATGGTTCTTGTGCTGCATCATGCTGACCAATCCTCCCTAATTATGATCATTTCTGTTGTGAATCTAGTCCTAAGAGCTGGACTGTGAATACCAAAAATGAAGGGAAAGTCATTAGATCCCTACAGTGTGAAGAAGGCCATTCGGCCCATCGAGTCTGCACTGACCGTCTGCAGAGCATCCAACCCAGACCCACCCCTCTATCCTTTCCCTTTAACGCTGCATTTTACATGGCTAATCCACACAGCCTACACATTCCTGGACACTATGGAGCAATTTAGCATGGCAAATCCACCTAAACTCCACAAGTCATCCGAGGCTGAAATTGAACTTGGGTCCCTGGTGCTGTGAGGCAGCAGTGCTAACCTCTGACCCGCTGTGCTTCCCAAAAGTGTGCAAGATTTGCCTTTAGATATCAATAGAAGCTCTGTCTGCACAGTTAGTTATCCCTCAGTTAAATCTTGATGTTCTGCATAAAACAGAATAATGGGATATGACAGAGATGCTAGTCACTATACAAATTGACAGACATCTTTATGTTGGATAACTTCTCTATAATTGCTAGTTGGAATGAACTTGGAAGCAAACATTTAAGGAAAGTTTTCTTTTATTTGGATGTCAAACAAGCATGACATCAACACTGTGCCCACATATACCTACACAATGTGGCAGTCAGGAAGCTCACACATATGCCAATTTTTTTTTGTCCGTGACTTTCTTCCTGGCGCTCCACTGCAGTAGCTTGTTTCTTGCGGCGGAAACTTGGCCAGCTGTAGTATGCAGCCAATTGGTGACAAAGGGATGTTTTTGTATGGGGGAGCAGATGCTGGCAGGGTCTGGTGGTGGGGAGGAGGTGGAATGAGAATGGGTTGGCAACAAGCCAGAAGATTTTTATGGGGCCTGCAAAAGAACATCAGCTCCTCACATACCATGGCGATCTTTTAAAAAAACACAGCAGAAAGATTTTGGAGAGGCCTTCACGTGGTCTCTTTAGACCTCTCTTAAGCAAGAGAAACTGAAATTATCATGCAATGTGCAAACTCTACCTGTTTCTTCAAAAGATTTGGACTTCAATTTTGTCAGAACTTTCTAATTTTTCAGGTGAAAACTTTAGTTGAAAATTAACTGCCCCATTAAATTGATTTTACACAATAAAATTCTAGGTGGGCAGTCGCATCTTGGTAAGTTCATTGCTGTCTGTTTGGTAATGACAGATGGTAGAAAAAGGGGAAGAAGAAAACTGAAATAAAAGGTTTTCAACATCAACCAGGCATTTTCCATTGTTTATTTCATGGATTCAAAAGAGTTCAAATCCTACTGTGTGATATTTGGAAGAAACATTTTGTGCAAAATTCTTCAATCTATACTGCAACAAAAGTGCAAACCCCTTTAAAACAAACAGATTAAACAAATGGGCAAAACATTTCATATGAACACAGTAATATATTTGCTATCAATATGAATGTAAATTCAGCATAAAAAGTCCTAGGATATAGTATTTATTTTCTGTAGTTTTGAGTTTTTCAGGCAGTTGCACAGAATAATAGTTGATTTTATGATCATTTTTTAAACTG